TAGGGAAGTTGCGGTACATCATTAGGATTAAAATGGCATAGGAAATGTCGTACGCTGCTAGGGGCTCTTCCTCTCTTTTGATCTGTTCAGAAGCACTCGAGAAAGCAGTTCATAATAAGGGTGGCGTATGACGACATTTGTTGCATTGGCTTTGATTTCTATGCAATTTTAATCCTGATGATGTACCCTAATTCAACTGGAAGTTTGTGGCAACATATATGCGACCATTTTTCGACAAAAAATTAACAAAAAATGTCATTAAAAAAAAATACTGTTGCTTAAAGAGAGAAACCGAATGCAGATTTATAATCAGTTCAAATTCGACATTATTTAAGATCATTAAAACAAATCCCATGCAACAGGAAAAGTTTTAACAACTGTTAACCTTGTAGCAAGAATATCCCATGGGGACCGCTCTACAGCCCGCTGAATTGCAACAACAGAGTTAAAATTTGACATGCTGAAAAAGCCATTTTCCTTTATGAACTTAACGCAACATTTTTTTTTTTTCGAAATTCCAATTTCTTCGAAGTTTTTCTCTATCAATCTTAACATTTATCGAAATTTTTAGAAATATAAAAAACTTAGAGATAAAAACTTTTTCCGATTTGAACTGTTACATAAAATTATTGTTAAATATTGTTAACTAGTGAAATTACTTGTGATTTATCACTTCGCATTGTCTCACACCTTCTGAGGTAAATGTTATTTTTCAAGTACAATTAATTATTTCAAATGTAAATACTCTTTCATTTTGTTAGAAATGATCTATTAACATAATGTTCTTTCGTAAAATTATAACAATAGTTTATTTCATGAAAAAATTATCTTTTTGTTGATTTTGAAGTAGTTGTAAAGTTACAAGCTACGCAAACTTTTAAAAATAATAACGCTTTTACAATTTATTGGTGAACTTTTATATATTTATTTTTTTCGCGTACAGACGAATTTATTTATTTGTTCGATAATTAAATTCAAAGCAATGATTTCAATTATTTAAAATTTTCTGATTGTTATTCTTAATTTTTATACAAAAATTTAAGTTTACAAAACATTGAATAAATTGTGATTAATATACAAAAATTGAAATTATTTAAACTTAAATGTATTGAGGCTTTTTTATAGTTTGATAAAAAAAATTCTAATTTCGAAACATCAATTATGTGTTACTTTTTTAAGTTCGATCAAAATTTGCTTGCATACAAGTGGTAAAATTTGTTTTAATTACATTTTTTCCCCTTAGTTATGTACAATAAAATCTATTCGTTTTTTAATAAAATCGATAAAACATAGTAGCCTTAATTCAAATACTCTTAATTCATAAATACAATTGTAGTCTGTTAATTATTTGAAGTTTTTATTATGGTACAACTTCACAGAATTATTTTTAAATCGGATTTTTTTTGTAGCTTTGACATTTAAATAACACATTTCTAATTTATAATTATTCTCATTTCTAAAAAAATTCACATTTATAAAAATATTCTAATTTATAAATAGATTTATTAATAACATTGAATTAGTCTAATTTCAATGTAATTGATAAAAGTATTGAAATATTTATTGATACTTATGCAAATAATTTTCACACTAGGATAATGAGATTTAAAACACAATAAGTTTTTAATATATAAAACAATTCTGTTGTTAAAAATATAACTTTTCCTTCTATAAATGAGATTAATTTTTAAAAAAATGCACTCTGGCTCAGATGGGACAGTCGAGTCTCTTTTATATATATTTTTTCTGATGCCCTAGTTACAAGTAATATACAAAATTGTTATTTTTTAGTTAAAAAAAAGCGTCTGATAGTTACTAAAAAATATCTGTTAGATTATCGGAATCATATTTGTGCTAAAAATCCAAAGAAGTGCAGTATGAAACAAGAAATCATTCACATGCAAACATTTATCAATAATTGATTTCGTAAGTTAAAGAAATTTCAATGAGAAATTATTTTTTCTTTCAGATCTAAATAACTGCAAATAAGTGCAAATTTGAAAAATTATTGTTTCGAAGTGAGCCGTATTTGCAAGATTTTACCTTCACACCCTTGTGCAAATTAATTGAAACAAACTCAACAAATTCAGAAAACTAAGAGAAAATGCTATTTTATTTAAATTTATGCAAACTCAAAAATTTTTAGTACATAATATGATCTCCACGACACTTTATTAACATTTGGACACGATTCGGCATGGATTCCACTAATTTTTTACAGTCATTTATAATATTTGTGTCCTTGTACTACGCATGAATTAACGCCGTGATTAGCTTCTCCATAGTTAATAGTCCATATTTAATAGGCGATTCTTGCATATGGCCCAGAGATTCTCAATTGGGTTGATATCCGGAGAGTTCCCTGGCCATTCCAACGTCTCAATTTGATTCTCAGACATGAATTTCTTGACAATTTTGGACACATGGCAAGGAGCTAAATCCAGTTGAAAAATTCCTGTTCCATCAGGGTATCGTTTCTTCAACTCTGAAACAATTTTTTTATCCAGAATAGTAATGTACTGCTCAGAACGCATCATACCGTCAATAGGCTGCAAAGGTCCAACCCCATTGTAACCAAAACAACCCCAAAACATCTTCTTTAAAAAACACGAAAAAAAAAGTTTGTTTCAATGAATTTGCACAAGGGTGTAAAGCAGAAAAAGACACCAGTGTTTCACGCTGTATTTCATAACCATAAATTATTAAAGGTTAAATGTAATTTCTTCACTGATTTTGTTCTAAATTAATACGATATAATGAAAAANATTTTACCTTTAAAGCAGAAAAAGACACCAGTGTTTCACGCTGTATTTCATAACCATAAATTATTAAAGGTTAAATGTAATTTCTTCACTGATTTTGTTCTAAGTTAATACGAAATAATGAAAAAAGTTGGAAAATAACTTTAATGAGACACTGCGTCAAAGAGTTAAAGAAACACGTAAAAAGCATGGAAAAATGTGATATGAAATAATTTTTTTTTCCTTTTCCTGATAACAATTCAAGCATTTTTCAATCTATTATGGTAAACTATGACCGCATAATTTAATAATTTCACTTGTCTATATATATTGTTAACTCCCAGTAGCGAATGTTATTCTGACCCAATGTTTTCAATCAGCTGTTGACCTAATTGTAGACCTAACACATTTGTTTTATGAGACAACCTGCGTATGGCATGCTCTCTCACAAGGTTGAGTAAATGTTGACAGATGTTTTATTTACTCTTTTCTTTGAACGTCAGACTTGTTGGCCAGTAACCAAGTTATCTAAATAAAGTTACTCTTGTCACATTTATTTTTCTAGTTTAAAAGTAAATATGTCATGTTTTGACTAATTTTCTGAGGTTTGGAGAAATTAGCATTTTTTTTTTATACACTCAGTTTTACCGAGCGACAAATTGAGTCATAAACAGCCCACCCCCTTTTTTAAAGCAATATTTTTTTTCTCTTTTTGTATGGTATATTAGGGATTGTAGATATATTTTCCTTGAACTAAATAAATATTAGATTTTTTTTCGATATATTAAAGTTGATTTCAGTATATTTTCTGCTGAGACGACGAAATGTTCTAAACCTTATAAAATATCTTACAGGAAATATAATTTTGAATTATCTTATTAATTGATTTTTTTCTAGAGTTTATTTTACATTTTTTAAAGCGTTTTTATGATCATAAATATTTTGGGGGGTGTTAGATGCTTTATTGGTTACAGAGCAATTGAATTAGAAGGCATGAACTTCTGTTGCCAGGAATTCCGCATGGATTCAGGTTAAATATTAATGTTTGAACCTTAAATTTTGAATCATTTCTTCTTTCATGAAAGTTTGATATTTAGAAGTTAGCTTCTAAGTTGAAACATCGAAGCATCTCTCTGAAAAAGAAAAAAAATTACATTCAACACTCTTTTTAAAAAAAATTATTAAGGTAAATAAACTTTGTGAAAATTTTTGATAACTAACGAAACCAATCCTCCTACAGTGTTAAAAATATTATTGCCCGTTAAGCCTTATTAACTATTTAAGTTCGTGGCAAACTAAGTAAGACATAAAATATTATTACTTGATAAAGTTCCATCTTTTTTATACTTTAAACGACAAAAGGAAAGATGGCCCATTGATATCTTAGGTTTGTTTCAAATTAGAACGATATTAATGTTAAACGAGCAGCAATATTATCTTAGTAATGCTCTTGATGTAGCAATTAATCGCATTAACAAAAAAATTAGTAAAACATCTTACTCACAAGAAGATGGACAGGGTTGCTTCGAATTCTGAAGTTTTGTTGTATTTTATGCGATAATAAATTTTCTAAACATATTTTTAATTTCAAAAATAGATTTTGTTGGTCGCGAACACAGACCTGGTTATGAAGTAATAAAGAATTATTAATGTAGTGAAAATAAAATAGCAAAATAAATAAGTGAACGAAAAGTTTAGATCAACACGGCAATTAAATAATAAGAGATTGCTCTTACATAAAATGAAAATTTTTAGGGTATTTCAGAATGACCACCCTTATTATATCATTTTAAGATCTTTGCTAAAAAAAATGGAAGGTCAAAACACCAAGCACATTAGGGCTAGACAATTAATATTTATGTGAGAAGGAAAAAAAATTTCTAACTCTGATTAAGGTCTATCAATGTCAATCGGAAAATTGATCGAAAAATATATTTTTTTGAAAATAAATAAATAAATTTCTTAGTGAGATTTTAAAAAGTTTAGCTTTTGTTGGAAACCATTCGTTAAAGTGTTTTTCGATAATTTTAATCCCGACCTAGTTGTTTGATAATCCCTTTCTCATTTTTAAATACTAATTCACTAGCCCTAATTATGTTTTTTTACTTAATTGAATACTTATGTAAAGATTCTAAAAATATATATTAAGGGTGATCATTATGGAATTACCCTGTATATCTATTAATTAATTATTAAACATATTTAAATTTAGTTTTCAGTTCATATTGAAAGATACCTGACTTGTAATCCTGCTAGTGAATGAATCCTGCTAGTAATCTGTCAAGTGATTATCGACCGTATAGTGGTGGACGTCCAGCATGGGCCGTTGCCGCCGATGGTGCGAGCGACTCAGGTCGCGACCTGGAAGACCAGTACGAGAGCGATTTAATGGACAACAGAGCTGACGTAATACCTGAGCCGGAAAGAACAGGGTGTTGGTACAGCTTCACACGAATTGTTAGAGGTGACTATAAATTATAATTTCTTTAAAGAATAGAAACACACTAAAAAAGAAAGAAAAAGCACGCTATGTTTTTTAAACTGTAATTTTTGGCACAGTGCAACTTGTATAAGCTAACCCTCTTGCTGTACATTGCCTCAGTGGTCAACTTAAACAGATTGTCGACTTATACTAGAGGATAAGTCTGGGATTTTTTTTAATTATTATTTCTTGTAATTTGTTATTTTTAGATCATGATTTTTTTCATGACAAAATTTCCTGCAACAGCCCGTTGTGGGCCAAGGGGTCATGAAGGTTAAGGGGCCACAATTTCGTGACTAACGGCATGATTGTGGCAATGTGATCAGTAATGCACATCAGCCGCGTTTATTTCTCAAACAAGCTAGTACTGTACAATATGAAGCTGTGTGGTATTCAAGACGTCACTGGAGATCGTACCCCAGTCCTTTACATTGGCAATGACATTTATTACCAACCAAAATGAAAATAAATTTCAACAATACTTTAAAATTTTATTCAGCAAAATACCGTATGTGTCTTAAAAATTAGATTACTTACAGAATACATTTTCAGGGTGCGTAGCGTTTTTAGAAAGTGCTTAAAGGTACTTATTTTTAATTTACGTTTTTTAAAAGCCCTTAAAGGTGCTTTTTTTTATTCGATGTTTGTAAAAAGTGCTTAATATTTCATCTTTTAAAAAGTGATTTTTTTCTTTACCGTATCGATTGTTGTTCTAAATTACAAAAAATGCATCGTTTTCATAATTTTCTCCTCTGCTATATTTAGCAGAAACTGGTTATATCATCATGATTATGTCAAGGTTTTTAAAATGTTATTGAATTTTATTGATTTTATGTTTATAAATTAAGTACTTTAAACGATAGAAAAAATAATTTTTATTACTGCACAGATCCTAATTATGATTTATTTTGGAAGGCGATTAAAAATATTTTTTGAGTGCTTGTAAGTACTTAAAAGGTGTTTGTTTTTTGATTGAAAAACTAGCTACGCACCCTGATTTCAATATTTTACTTACAATTAATTGTTTCCTCTATATAAATAATGCCTTAAAGGTTAGCTTAAATACTGTTTCCCTATCACCTCGAAATTTTAACAGTTAACAAAATAATATAGATAATTTTGTGTAAAAAAAAAAGAAGAAGAAAATAACCCTTTTTTTTAAACAATTTATGAAGGGTTTAAAGAAGCAGTCAATAACATCTCTAAACAAATTTGACTTATTGGCGGTCAATATATGGGATAGGCATGTGGTCAGGTTTCATAGGTTTTCGTATTTTTTTATTTTACAGGATGAATTTATTTCCTAGTAATTGAGGTCAACTTGACAAGTTTTTCTGTATGCTACTGCAAGCATTCTTGTGCTGATCGTCGTACACTGTAAAAAATACCGGCACTTAGGATGCATCATCTGTAAAATCCGTTTTTACCGTAAAATATTGTACCGTGATTTGTAAAGCGCACTTTAATGTAACTATAATGCGTGATTTTTTGGGGGCGGGCAATTAGTCGAAAAAATTAACTGGGCGTTTTTTTTTTTTTTTCTCATTTAGAAAAACTTTTTTTTTCTTTTAGAAATTTTTGAAAATAATTTATTTACATCATGCATTACATCTCCTTGTGACGATCATATTATAGAAGAGAAAAATATGTTTTGGAACTAATATAACGTGAGATTGACCAGGGCTAAAGGAGATTGACTGTCGCTATATTTTAAATTTTACAAAAATGTGCATATAATTCTGACCCAAAGAACTTAGTTCAAATCTCAACTTTAGTGGTTAAGCTTGTATAACCTTTTTGACTAGCGTTGACATAAATCATCTTCGCTAAATTTTGGGCCCTCCTTATTTTCACTCATTTCTAAATCATTTTTAACGAAAAAAATTTCATGTGGGGTAAAAGAAATATAAATATAAATAATAATAGGAAAAGTCTTAAACTATTTATTTATTACTAGATAGTTTAATGAATAGTTAAGAATCAATAGTAATCCAATAAATAAGATTTGCATTGTTTCTATTTTGCGCAAAGGTTTTCTACATTAATCTACAATAAGCTTTCAGCCTATGTCTACTTTTTTTTTAAATGGATAAATAAGAAATATTATTTTAAAAGAAAAGCATTACTCGATATTTAATTTCAATACATTATGATTGATTCAATCTTAATAAACCAGTGTAAAGTTCAATAAAGCACAGTGTAAAGCACTAAGTCCAAATGTCCATGAAGTAATCTCTAAAATACTATCAATATTTCCAATGAAAATAAGGAAAAAAAGCCTTGAAAATTTTAAATTTCATGCAATGATATTCCAGGGCTTAAAATGTAAGGCCCTGCATAAGTGCTCCACTGTCTGTGCCCTGGGCCCTGGACAAGACTGGGCCCTGGACAAAATAGGCCCTGGACAAGAGATCCTTTCTTCTTGAATTCATTTAAAATTACAAGATAACAATATTATCCTATGAGCCGGTAGCGTCGACAAGAAAATTAAATTAAAAAATTATCATGTATTGTTTATATAACTTTCCCCGTTAAAACTAACTCTTAATTTTGTTTATTTAAGAATGGTTTGTTTATTTTGCTCAAAAAGCTACTTCATAATTTCACTTTGAATGATCTGAATTTTTCATATAATGCCCACTGTATTTTATTTAGATTATATTAATGTGAGTTAACAAAAACCTGAAAAAGAAAACTTTTTTTCAATAAAAAAAAGGAAGATGGTTAAGTTAGAATAAATTTTCAACGAATTGGTTAACAAAACATTTTCTTTGTAAATTCTTTTGTTGCAAAGATAGATTTTGATATGTTTGTTGATAGAAAAATCGTAATGCGTTAAATGTAATGATGTATGTCATTTTAGAACTTAAAAGTAAAACAACTTTTATTGAAGACAAACAAATAAAATTCAGTTATTCCTGATAATTCGCGTAGATTTCCTGTGTAGTAAATGGTGACTGGTGCACGTTAAATCTGCCGGATCACAAAGTCCTCCATGTTCACATAACAAATTATACCTCTGGGGGTACTGAATTGGAGATTGATCGTTCGCTGGTTCAGATCATTTTTTCGATCTGTGGATGAATGAACGGATGTATGAATGGGTCCGCCCTATGAACGGATGAGACGTATAGGTGTGGCAGAAGTCGAATTCAACTGAAAAGTTTTTCTACTATTATTAAATAAAGTAATAAATATTTACTAAAAGTTATATTTTGTATGGAATTACCTTTGGATAAACGAACTTTATAGTTGGATGTAGAAAAAATTCGATTCGCTTAAAAAGTTTTCAAGATATGGCGAAATACGCAAAAAATAAAATTAGCATTAAGGGGTCCAAACTTTGGACGGCTCTCCTAATCAAATTATTGGGACCATCTTTCCCACATTGCGACTACCTCCTATATTTTGGGCATCAGTAATCGGAATCCGTCGAAAAGCAGATATATTTTTCTACAGAAAGTACGTTGTAACTTAAAATATTATCTGCACTAATTAATTAACATATTTGAGGTCACCTTCTCGTACCACAAAGATTGAGTCCTAGAACGTGAAGATCCGATCATTAGATCAAAAGTTATTAAGGACGGTCCGTTTTTTCCCCGCTCACTGTACTTGTAATGTTTCCTTTTCTTCTCCCAACCAAAATCGATGGCTTTTATGTTGGTAGTTAGCTATAAAGCTTGTACATGGTGTTCTGTTCTGTTAGCCCTTAATATACATTTTTTTTAAATCATTGTTAAAAATTAAGAAGAAATATTAAATTAGGATAAATGCATTTTAATAAATAAGGATTTAAATAAATGCATTTGATTTCTAATGAATCACTACTGAGGAAGCCGAGACAAAAAACATCAAAACGTGTCTGATTGCCACAAGAAACGTGAAGTCGTTTTTAGTCGTCCTTTCACAGCTGCAAACAATTTTGATAGGTGTCTTTTCTCTCTTTCTGGCTTAAATATTTATTTGCAATCCCTAATATGTTTAAATTTTTTTGCAATTATTTCTGACAAGGATTTTCAAAACACATATTAAGAGCGTTCAATACGAAACACCTTAAAAATTTAAATTTTACTGAAGCAGCTTTTAATATTTGTAAATTTTGATTTGATTTTTGAATTTTATTCTACTTGTGGGTATTTTTTGGTACATAAATAGAATCTGAGATAGGATCTTTTCGTGAATTATGTTGCTAACATGTGCATGCTTTATAATACTATTAAAAAAAATTTAATTTTATCAAATTTTTACATTTTAATATTCAGTCTTGAAAACCCTAAATGTTATTCGGAGAGGAAACAATATCGCAATATTTTTAAAACTTCTAAAGGCGCCTAATATTTTTGGATTAATTAGGTAAACGAGGATTTTTTTAATGAAAATAAAAACATGATTTATTAATAATTAAAATTCATCATATTTTTGAAAAAAATGGAAAGTACGTATTTTTAATATTTCACGACATAAGGGGAGGGGAGAAAGAAACAATAATTTTAATATTATAGAGCTTAGTTGAAAAAGAAAGGCAGTAAAAAGTAGGAATAGCAATATTTTTGAATGAAAAGAATCGTTCCTCATGAATCTTTTTTTTATTTAACTTTTTGGAAACTGTCTGTTTAACTGATTTCTTTTTGACATATTTACTTAGATCTAATCTTTTTTTTCTCTCTCTTCTTGATATAGTTTACATTACTTTGTTTATTGTGTTACACATACTTTTTTTCCTAAAATGCTTAACTCAAAATAAATAAACCATTTTAATTATTATTTTGCCGTAATTGTAAATTTTCACTAATTCCTTTCAAAAACATTAAAAAAAGAAAACGGAGTTATTATTGTTTTTTACTCATTTTCTTAGATTTAGCCTTTTACTTCTTGTTATACTTTACATTGTTTATAGTATTCTTAAAACATTTTTTCTCAAAATGCTTAACACAAAACAAAATAAACACAATTGTTCCAAAGGGCTAATATTGTTAAAC